TTTGGAGAAATTCTGAGACTATGCGTGCCACAGCTCCTATTTAAATTTCAAATCATTACAGAGAATGGCTCTTAAAAAACGTCTATTTGTACGTCAAAATACGTACAAGTACAAGTACGCGTACAAGTTTAAAAATCTCAACCTCTCTATTAATAGCAATTAAACGCTTTAGACGCTGCATTATTAAATGATTGAAATTAAAAGAAGAAACTTAACTACCGTATAAACTTGTATAAAAATCATGCAATTTTCTTCAAAAGCTTGGATACCTATAATTTTTCATCCTAAAATCAAAATGTATATATGTTGATCAATTCTCAACTAGAAATTAAATGCAGTTTTCGCATTTCCTGAAAATTTATTAGATAATTACTATTTTTCCCTTTATAATATCAATAACTTTAAACACAGGCACTTGAATTTTTATCAATAAGTCGCTAAATTAGCCAAATATCGAAAAATTCTACCCGCTCTATTCATAGATACATTTTAAAGGGGGTAGAATTTTTCTATTTTAGGCTAATTTAACGAATTAGGGTGTTTGTGCTTTAAAGATAAAGTTTGAGGAATAAACATGGGTAAATACACAATATAAATACTAAAAGAATCGAACCTTTTTTTTATTTTGCCTTGAGAACCAATGACCGATTTAATTTTTAATAGCCTTATATTATCAAAACCTGAAGATTTTAATTGAAATTTTTCCTTTTAGACTAAATTTTTTTATTCATTTTCTTTGAATTCCATTTGATCTCATAGGACACAGTCATTATAAAATATTTACATCCACTGAATATTTTCTTCTTTATTTCTTAAGAAAAACCCATTGCGTTCATCCCTGCATAAACTACATTAAGCATATCACCTGTACAGATTTCTTGATCAGTGGCCGTTCCATCAATGAAACGTACAAAGACGTTCGCATCATTAACACAATAATTAATATTTTTAATCCTACTTAAAATGATAATTTAAACAGATATAAATATAAACAATAAAATGTCTTTCTTTGCTTGTTGTTACTGGAATGAACGGTCGCAGCTATTGCAGAAAAAAATAACATAACCCGCTTACGCGGGTTATGTATTTTTTCTACAACAGCTGCTTCCGTTCATTCCAGTAACAACAAACAAAGAAAGCATTTTATTGTTTAAATGAAAGTAGATTTAGTGGATTTTTCTGTACTATTTATATAAATCGCCTAGTAAAATGGACGCCATTGAAAATTCACCAATGTAAGTTTAAATGACAGTTGTGTTTTACTTAAAATGTCTTCAGTTTCTGAATCAGTAAATATTGTAATGCTTTTAACTTTGTATGCAATGTACATTTTTCTTCTTCTGTTTTGTTCTTAATTGTAAATTTAATTATAATTCAGCTGAGAACAAATTATCCTCGTACATGTAAAACATCTTTGAATGTAATAAAAAATTTTGAAGCAGAGAAGGTATTGAATAGTTTACTAAAATGGCATAATATACAGTGTATATCATATATGTCAAAACATATAAAAATTCTCCTTTAATCCTTATTAGAAAGACAGCCCTACAGCATATATCAGAGTCAGTGTTCTTGGGACTGTGTGATAAAATTGGGACCTCACAACAGGTGGCCATGAGAAGAGATATGGTGGACATCATGGAGATGGCGGAAAATCAAGGGAGAGCAAGTGGTGAGTACAGTGAGATGTGGAGTGGAAGTTACAGAGAAGGATTCAGACTGAAAGAATCAGATATAGACATTATGTTCTGGCCAAATGATCACCGTGTGATCTGGGACTTATCTCAGTCTCAGTATTACAACACACACGGACAAACACTGATATTATGTGACTGTTCTGATAGTCCACCAGGATTCACTTTGTTATATTTACTGTCACCAAGCAGGAATCAAGTAATCCAGGGAGCTTGTGTTAGAGTGAATAGCGAATATTATATCTCCAGTTCAGAATACAGAATGATTTGGTGTTCTGCAACTTTGCCTGACTCCATTCCACATGGACCCTGTGTCAGTGGAGTTATTTCAGGGGGAGCAGAATATGAATTCGCCCATTGTTTTGTTAGTGACTTTTGGCCTCCCTCTGCCTCCTCGTGGATAGACAGATGTCACTCATGGCCCAAGCCTCATATTGCTAATGAAATAGTAAAAAATGGATGTCACTTTGTACCAGTAGGACATAAGCTAGGACGACATGAGCACAATGAATGGAGAATTTCTTTCTCTTTTGCAGAACACAAACTTGTGTATGCTATGAACCACTGCCAATTCTTAACTTATGGCTTGCTTAAATTATTCTTAACAGAAATAATTAACAATGGATTAAGTGATGAAGATAAATTACTGTGTTCCTATCACATGAAGACAGCTGTTTTCTGGGTGATTCAACAGAATACATTACAACAATGGTGTCCACAAAATCTCCTGGAGTGTTTCTGGAATTGCTACAAGCTAATCCTTAAGTGGGTGTATGATAGAGTCTGTCCAAACTTTTTTATTCCCCAAAATAACATGTTTCTGAGTAAAGTCCATGGTGAAGCACAGCATCAGCTATTTATTAGACTGTATGGGTTGTATGAGAATGGTTTAGCATTCCTGCTACACAGTCCCTCCATTAGGTCTTGTAATATAAATGTCCTTTACAACCCCCGCCTCTCCATCTGTACAAATGAAAATACTCTGATTTCTGAGACCAGGTTTGATAAAGAGCTGTGGAGGGAGATACATACAATTATTATTATTGTCGTTATGGGTATTTCCTGTGTGAACAGAGTGGTGGATCTGTGTGGTTTTTATGTCACGTGACATGGTCATATAAATAGCAGGTGCGTGCTTTAAAAGTTATTATTATTGTCGTTATGGGTATTTCCTGTGTGAACAGAGTGGTGGATCTGTGTGGTTTTTATGTCACGTGACATGGTCATATAAATAGCAGGTGCGTGCTTTAAAAGTTATTCTACCGCTCGTACAGAACGTTGTAAGGAATGGAAACCAGTAAATTAGGCACACACACACATATATGTATGTATATATAAATATTATTTAATGATTAAAAATAATGGGTGTTGAAATAAATACAAATGTGTTAAATTCGTAATAAACGTTCTGACGAGCAGCATTCCATACATATGAGTTGATTATTCTTTCAATACAGAATAAAGAGTATAATTAATTTATATTCGGACGAACGAAGTGAGGGAGAATATAAGTGACGCATTCTTCACATCAAACCTAGAAACCTTTATGAGATGTCTACATACAATAGAACAGATGATAGATTTACCCCTCCTGACTCAGTATCAAGTCGTGATGCTACAAAAACTTACAGCTATTGTCATTCAGAAAACAGCTTTTATATTACACATAGCAACTTACACAAATGAAAACAAACTGTGGTATAGAGCTGACAAAATTTCCTGTCACATGCTGAAATTAGCAGCCAAGTTTGGTTGTATTACAGAAATGCTGTACATAGCCATGTATTATTACAAGACACTAAGATACACGGAAGCTTTATCTATTATAGAGATGATCAAGGTCAGGTTATCACATTAATATGTGATTCATATGGGTAATGGAGATATAAAGATATATAATGAGACTGTAGGGGGACAGTCCTGGTCTACAAAGATAAAAAAGGCTGTAGACAGAGATATCCAGCTTGACAATGACATCCATTATATCAATGAATTGGTACCAGAACAACAGTCTGCTCTACAGAACAGCCGACCTTCATTGCGTATCCCACTATTTGTACTATTATACATGTTAGAAATCTTGTGTTATAGACATGTAGACACATCGAGAATACAAACAGCTCTAGATGATCTACAGACCCTAGTTCACCATGATCAGGGACAACTTATACCTTTATTATACAGAGACATATCGTGGCAGATTCTGGGGATCTGTCAACAGGTGACAGGGAACCTCCAGGCTGCTCTATACTCATACCAACAATCTCTCAGACATGAACCCTTCCATAAAATACAAACAACTACAGAAATGAGAATACAGGAAACCTGTCACAGATTACTGAATTAGTAAAATACCGGTAAAGCTGGACATTTGTAGAAGCCCATCCGATAGAATTTATAATCTGAATATTTCTTCTCATTCTACCATATTTTCAGAATGACCAATTAAAATACACGATGCAAGAGAATACTTTTCTTACAAACAATTTTTAAAACAAAGAAAGTTATATACTAGTTATATTCTAGATCTGTGGTACATGTATAATAACTGTCCAAACATCAACAATATTTTGAAATGTTGTATCTAGCTAGCATATGGTTATATTATGTCATATCGTCGAGGCGTCACATCACCCACTCAATAGTATGCCATTCTCTCTCAATAATCAAACCGGTCATTAGCCTTATCCACTTCTCACTTACAGGCTATAAATTGTACAATATCAGCTGTCAGCTGAGTGCCCTTGATGCGTCTTACAAAAATCTGTAAGACAACACAAAGCAAAGTAAAAATGTTTTATTATAATGGTTCCAAGAGATCAACAGTTTCAACCTACTTAAATGATCATGATCAAAAAATTACTTGTAGTACTTTTTAGTGTTCAAGAAATTAAATACAACACATGTCCAACGTTTTCTGGGCGATACTAAATGACAAAATCAATTCTGTTTCAGATTTGAGGGTCACAGTGAGAGACCGTCTTTTTGTGCAGATTTTTTTTCATAATTTCTGCTTCATTTGAATGAAAATAGGACGGTTAAGTGCAATTATTACCCATAGGAAGTCCAACAGAGTGTCGGAAGACTTCATCTTCAAAACCATATATTAGATATTGTCTTTCAGAAACTCATCCAACTTTCTAATATCAACTTTGGAGTACTTGTGTGTTCAATCATTCTGTTTTGAGCAAAACAACTTGGCAATTCACTAATGATAAGCTAATAAAATTCACCACATATTTTCTGGAATGTTTGTACTAGGGATCTTGTTATATCTCACATGTATTCCTTGTGACCTGTCTAATATGGGTATCAACATTTTTTAACTCTTGACCTTGATGTTGGAGTTTGAACTATATCTAAAAACATTAACCTTATCCATGAGCTGCCACTTGGCAGCATCAGTGTTTCACAAATAGGTATGGTTCAAAATAAATATTTATTCATACATTCGTATATTACATTTACAATATTTACATAATTATAATAGGCTACAGGAAAATGCACTGCTTAACCCATTCAAATTAAATTTTTTTAGTTACAGTACTTAAGGAAAAATACTCTTTATCAAAAGAGATTCGAGTATTAAATGAAACAGTTAGAAAAACATGTCCATTGTAATGTATTATAATAAGCTGTAGTTTATTTGTAAGAAGTCTCATTTTCATTCATATTTCAAATTTTATCAGAAACATCAATAGCTATGCGCCTGATTTCTGTCTTCCCAGCCTCAATAACTAATGACTGTAGAATTTCTGTGTTTCACATCCCCCCATTAACCCCACTAGTTGCTTTGTGACCCGGTTTGAGACAAATGGCGTATAACGTCCACCCAGTCCCACCCCCGTGGCCTCTCTCCAGAGGCGTCCAGTCGGTCAAACATTTTACGTTTCTGATTCTTGGTCAACTGTTCTTTTTTTTCTTTCTTCTTGGCCACCTCCACAACAGAAATCTTGTTTTCACTGACCTAAAGACAAAGTTAATTTATGTAAATAAATGTGGAATTTAAACTTCTATGTAAATTTAGAGTTGAGAGTTTTTACATATTTAAATATAAAATTAAACTCTTTGACCATTGTTGTATACATTTTTTTGCTAAATATGTAAATTCTAAATATATTCTTATGATTTTATGCAATATTATCGTACGTTGGAATTTAGTTTTAGAAAATCAATAATTTAACATTGATTTTGCCTTTTTGCTATATTTTGATATACACATATTACATTTAAGCTCTTATTTAAATTTTACTTGTTTTGTAACTGATTTGATTCATATTCAATCTGTAAAAACCCTTTCAAATGAAAGACAATACATTTAATGTCCATGAGTTTGTAACAATAAATCACTGAACAACAAACCTGATTGATTGGTTGTGTTTCTGGCTGCTCAGCAACAAGGTCATCATAATTCTCCTTGACCCACTCAAACAAAGTGTAGGTCATGGCACAGTCCAATAAGTCGGGGATCTATACGAAAAAAGTTTGACCACGATCAGTGACTCAGCATTTCAAAACTCATTTATCTTTTCAAATATTGCAGCATGGAAGAATGTGCAACAAAATGAGCAAAAATATGTTTCCTTTTTACAATATTATCTACATATTATAAAAATGTTGGAAATGTTTAAATGAAAGTCATTTGCATGAAATATACAGACAAACAAATTACCTGTTCCTGAAGGCCCTCCATGATTTTGGTCTTTACAGTGTCATACCTAAAGATACAAAATATGGATATAGTAGTCCATAAAAAGATAATGTAGGGATAAATATTTACATTTCCAATGTCTTTGTCCGAGATAAAATTACCAAATGTAAATGTAATTTATTTCCTCATGAATGTTTTGGCGCAGTTCCAAAATAAACCACGTGCAGGGCGGGACAACACCTAGAGAGAAGCAGGCTTAGAGCCCGTGGATTGGCGGAATCAAAGCATGTAAATATAAGGAATAACTGTCTTATTTTTCGAATTCATGAAGATGATCAATGGATTGGCTTGTGTGATAATTTTATGCATAAACGCCTTCGGCGTTTATGCAAATTATCACACAAGCCAATCCATTGATCACTTCATGAATTCGAAAAATAAGACAGTTATTCCTTAAATATGTTGTCATACTATTTTCAAGTATTTGTCGGACACTCTTTACTGTTTATAATATGTTGTGCACATACCTATCCATTTCAAAGATTTTGTGGCTATACTACCATGCCGGAAAAAATATTTCATGGGATATTTCATCAAGTTCATGAGGACCCGCGTTATTTTCAAACCCTGTTGTGCTTGATTACGGAACATAATATCTTATATTGTGAATAAATACTCTTCATACAACTTCAATGTACATTTAACTTATAATTATGTGTTTGTTGTACACTTTACTTACATGTGTTTATTATACACTTTACTTACATGTGTTTGTCTTACACTTTACTTACATGTGTTTGTCATACACTTTACTTACGCGGTACATGTGTTTGTTGTACACTTTACTTACATGTGTTTGTTGAACACTTACTTACATGTGTTTGTCGTACACTTTACTTACATGTGTTTATTGTACACTTTACTTACATGTGTTTGTCTTACACTTTACTTACATGTGTTTGTCTTACACTTTACTTACATGTGTTTGTCATACACTTTACTTACATGTGTTTGTCATACACTTTACTTACATGTGTTTGTTCAGAGACGTATAAGAGAGGGACCGCTAACTCATTTTCGCGCCAAATTATCTTCATGTTTTCGCAGCGCCCTCACCGGGAGGCATAGAAAGACTTCCGGTCGTATTAGCTGCAGTGTTTTCATCGAAGACTTTGGGGTAAATATTGCTAATATATTGTATATTTTACTATTTATAGCCTGCACATCAATAATAATTTACATTAGGTGGATATCTATGATGTATTTTTGCAGCTATAAAGAGAAATTAAAAAGATAACACGTATAACATGAGACCATGCATCATAATGTTTACATCTTGTCGTTGTCTGTACAACATTATTAATTCTGAATAAAAATGTTCTCTTGTTGAAAAGTTGCTCCTTTTATCTTCATAAACATTGTAGACTCAGGCCCTTAGGAACCGGTGAGCTTGGAGGAAAAATTAGCAAGCATCTAGGCACGTTTCGTTTTAAAAGGGGGGGAGGGTATGTAAATGTAGGAAAAGTTATCTGGGAAAAAAAACTTGAAGACAAGCAAATAAACATGATAAAAAGGGAAGGAAATTGTCAGAACAATCTGTAGAAAAATACTACTAGTATTTTGTGTAGGTGGGGCCGGTTGGGGGCTTTTTGTTTATATTTTCAACAGTAAATGGGTACACTGTATATGTTGTGGAATCCGGGATGTTTCGCGCCGATTCTGTTTCGCACTGAGATGGTTCGCGCCAGGATGGTTCGCGCCGATTTCGGTGCGAAACATCTCCCCTCTTTTTTTTAATAATCTCATTTATGTTGTAATAATTTAAGGTCATTTATTGAATCTTAGATATAAAAATGTGTTGTATGCTCAAATAATAACTAATAATATGCGTGGGCATGTGTAACGGATCGTAAATGTTAATATGAGTACCGTTTATACCACGTGTGTGTTCAACAATTTAAATGTAATTTGCTGGAGATCAAAAGGTTCCCCAAGCTAGCAATAATTACGAATTAATTAGATGGCGGTGTGATAAAGTAACTCCTATAAACCTAATTATGAGTGTAAGAATAATATACAATTACAACTACATACATGTACTTCAAATAAACTTCTACAATTTATTGATTGATCGATTCATTGTATATTGTTTAATGTCCCTCTTAAAATATTTCACTCATATGGAGACGTCACCGATGCCGGTGAAGGGCTTCAAATTTAGACCTATCTCGGCACTCAGGGCCATTGAGCAGTGAAGATTCTGTGCAACGCCTACCGTGACACGGGACCTAACCTTTTTTAAGGTCATATCCGAAGACCCGTGACTTTCACTTCTAGTGCCGAGCGGCTGGCAAAGAACATCAGCTACCCTATGTTTACGTCTTAGGTATGACGTGGCGCCGCGATCGAAAATAAACCCGGGCCTCCCGATCACGAAGCGAACGCTCTACCACTAGGCCACCGCGACCGGTTTCTACAATTTAAAAAAAATAATTAATATCCTACAAAATCTCGATACTTACATCAATATTTACAAATATTATAATTTTTCTTTTTTTTAGAAACGAACGAAATAAATAGCATGTTCTTAGAGCGAAACATCATGGGGCGAACCATCTCAGCGCGAAACAGAATGGACGTGAAACATCGCGGTGCGAACCATGCATCGGCGCGAAACATCCCGTTACCTATGTTGTGGACCCCCCCCCCTTTTCACCCATCAATATAATACTTTTATGTGCTATTCGAACATTAGAAACTACCTTTGCTTTAATGTTTCCCTTAAATAAATATTAAACTCATATGTTTTTCTTTTCCTTTTTTTATTTGCTCAACTGAGATTTGTCCCCAAAACTGAAATTCCTTCCCACAAAAGGGGCCTGAGAGTTTCTCAACATTTTAAAGACTTGATCATAGTATTAAGATGTATTATTTACTTTTTTGTATATCCAAGAATGTATAATAAGGATGTTAAATTTTTACATCATGTAAAGATGAACACTTGTTCATGTAATCTCCAGGTATGTCAGAAATCACTCTTCTCAACAACAGACACAGATTGCAAGCAGAGGAAATGAAGAATTAATGCATAAATTTTTATGAGTGAATTTATCCTGACCACCATAAATCTATTAAGTAAGTGGCAATTATTACTTATTTATATCACAATAATTTTTTTAGAATGTATCATTTTGCTTCACATGACTGTAAATGTGTTATTTATCGGTACATCAAAATTTGCATCAGGATCAATATCAAATACAATTGTACATGTATTACCTTGATTTATAGAGTGATAATCTTATATGTTCTTTGCGAGAGGATGCTCCGCCTTGTGGTGTCCTTGTTTCATGGGGATTGTTGATCTTTCTTTTTACTGCTTTTGATTTTTTTTTTAAATATACCATACTAAATAATGAACAATTATTATCCCAGGTTTTACAGGTATATTTCATGGGGCTATTAAATTCTCTTCTTCATTGATTTTGTCTTTTTCATATTTTCAGAGTAACAGTACCTCTCTTGATTGATTCTACAAGATTCTGAAGTTGTTTTCTCAAAAGACCTTGACCTGCTTCATAAGGGTGTTTTAAGCGAGATCTAAGGATGAACTAGATGCTGTCATGAGACAGTAATACCCGCACTAAGGTGTTTGCCTCTAAATGCACACTCCTCTAAAATTAGGCTTTACCAAAGAAAAAGTCAATATAATTTAATAATTTACATAATAGGGCCTCCATGTATTCATCAAATTGAGCATAATATTCTCAAGTGAACATGTGACCCGTCACCATGGGCTTCGATCTTATAGGTACATGTATTTCATATTCATAATTTATTACCAGTCTGAAATTAAACAACAGAATTCAATTAATGATGTAAATTAGGTTTGAAACAAGGGGGGGGGGGTTAAATTTTTGGCCCATAATTGGAACTTTTTAAGTCTATTTTCTCATATAGATCAACAACAAATATTATTCAAATTAGTTTAAAGCGTTTTTGATGATTTTTTCTAAAATGTACAAACTTTTTTTATACTTGATTAGGCAGAAACACCTTGAAAGCTGCCATATACCATTTATACCCAATCAAT